GACAAATCAAAGAAAGTTGTTCGATTTTGTTGTTTGCTTTTCTGATGTTCTTGTTTAATAAATCAAATGTTTCTTTCATAGTCATTGAAGCGATATTTTGAAATATCTCCCAATTTTTGTGAGCAGTATAACTAGAACACAGCCATAAACGAGAGATTGACCGGTGATTAGGCTGCGATTATATTTTCTATTATTACCTCATTCATTTTTTCAATTCCATCATTAAACATTTTATTTTTTTCATTGTATTTGTGTGAAGTTACCGCATCCCGATTTTATATATAGAGTGTGTTCATTTGAAAGTTTAAAATTTGTCCAGTCTAAATCTCGAAAACCACGCTTTTTCGGGAAAGACGTTGGATACAAAAGTTTCTCAGTTTCGAGAGTAAAGTATAATTATCGTATTTGCTTTTTATGTGTTAGATGTCTTCAAAGTTATTTGAAAATTAACTTTCTTTTTTCTTAAATAGAAAGATACATATTTCTTTATAAATTCTTATATGTGATAAAAAAGAAGAAACTTGTGTATAAAACGTTTTTCATAAAAATATTCGACTTAAAAAGATAATTGATAAAACAGAAATAGAAAGTTAAATGATACGAATGAGACTTGTTTACTTACTCTGGCTATTTTAGGGTGATAAGGTGAAATGATTACACGTTTTAATTTAATTAAAATTTAATTCTAACTTTATTTTAATTTAATTAAAATTTAAGTTTAATGTTATTTTTTTTTGTTATATTATGAATGATTGCACAACCGCTAAAATATGTTCTATTTTGCACTGGAAATGGTAAAATTTTTGTTCAAATTCTATTATATTCTTCAGTTCAACAAAGACTGTACCATTGCATAGTATAAAATGAAGAATATTCCTATAAGAATAAACCACTGTGCAACTCATATGGTGCAACACCATTCACTGTGTAGTAAAAAAATAATATCAAAATATATAATCATTATTGGTTTCATCTTATCATCTTAAAAATACTCAGAACAAGTAAACAAGTTTCATTCGTATCGCTTAACTTTTAATTCTCTACTTTAACAAATATTTTTCGAAAAAAAGGCCCAATAAAAAAATGTTTTACACAGAAGTTTCTTTTTTTT